TACGTCATTATTGATATGCAAATAAAATTTGTATAATTTCTACAGTTGGAAATAAGTAAGAGGTTAACAAATTTTGTTCATTAGTACTTTGTAATTAGTATCTCTTCCAATGTCTTTTTTTTTTTTAGAGAGATGTTATTTTGGTGTTAAGTTTGCATTTTACTTTTTATATTTTAGAAATGTTTTTTTTTCCAAATATTAGATTTATTGAAAGAGTTGATGGAAGGTAAAAGTTAAAACTTTCTAGTATCAATAAATGAATCATATATATGTTGTTAAGTGAATAATTAAATAAATAAATGCTAGAAGAAAACCCCTCATAGAATAACTTATAGAATCACATGTTATTTGTTCGTATCCTTTTAATATAACAAAAGTATGCTTACAACAATTCAAGAGGTTAAGAATTGATTGATCCCGAAAATTGCTTAAAGCTCTCTACAGTATGCCAAAATTATCAGAAAACCCGAAACAAAACAGTTCCCCATATAATTTACTTATAACTCATATTGAATTATAATATTTAAAATTTAAAATTCTGCTATCTTACTCTTCTATATTAGCTATCATGTATACGGTAATAGTACAGGGAGGCTATTGTAATAGTGTAAAGCTATGCATCCCTTCAATAGATATTGTAAAATCATCTCTCATTTATCTGCTGTCATCTGATATTAATATTCTTTTGTTATTTTGACTCAGTGTTTCGTCAATCTCTATCCATCTCGCTTTCTATCATTTGAATTCATATTGGTTTACCTTTTGTGGAAGATATTAAATGACCTATAAAGCGATTGTCCATTTAGTCAATTACTGATTTGCATATTGATTTATTTGTTTTATGATTTTAGATTTAGGCAAATCAGGAATTAAGAATTTCAATTATTAGTTGCATGTGACTTTTTTTTTTCTTTATTTATTTGAGGACAGATAGAAATTGTGACTTTCACTTCCTTCACTGTGATCTTATTTACTTGAATTTAGGAGATGTTTGTTTTAATTTCGGTGTTTAATTCTTAATAATCAAGCAGAGCTTTTTCATATTGACGACATTTGTGATTTACATTGGAGCAGTTGATAACTAGCATAAAAAATGTGACAATTGAGGACAGTAATATACGATGAAAGCTGTTCCATTCATTCTATTAATTAAAATTTTGATGAAATTAGTTTTTGGTGTTGTTCAATGAAATGATTGAATTGTTTGTATAACTTTGTATACCTTAGTGTTCGGATCATTAATTGCTCTTATCATATGCAAACTACCAGTCTGCAGTGATTAATTTAAGCTTATGTTATGATAAGCGTTTCGAAAAATTGAGAATTTGTTCGAGTTATTGTAACAGATGAAATCAACGACAGAAGTACTATCCTAGAGGAATAGCAAAATGTCGAATAATCTCTTCTATCCCATCTATATCGGATTAAACATTTTACTCGATCCATCAGAATAAAAGAAAGGATGAAGTAAAAGACATTCTTGGATTATAACTGATGCATAATACTTATAAATAAAGTGATTAGTACTTATAAACCAAACAGTACTTGTAAATGACGTGATTCACGGTATTCACGTAAAAATATTTCATGGTAACAATCATTTCATATTAATAGCTAACAATAGTCTCAGTAATACCATTAGTATTGATCATTCGTGTTAACGGGTTTGCGGTAAATGACGAATGATTAACATTAGATAAAATTTGTTTAATAATATTTGTTGGAAAGGAGTTGCAAACAATAGAATTTATTGATATTCAATGGTTTCAATTTTTATTTATCCAATTCTCATATTAGATTGGATCTGAATGTCAACTAAAGAATCGCTACAATAGCCTCTTCATATTGAACTGATTTCGAAATAGACATCCATTTACACCTGTTATATCTACTCAATTGGAATGAAAAATCGGTCAGATAATATTCATATTTTGTTTTTTCAAAATGTTACATATTTCACAGTTCAAATAGTCGGCGTTTAATTTCATCAATCAATAGATTAATTCAATTTGTCATTTTTTCAGTTCGAAAAATTGATAAAATTCATGAGAAATGGAGATAATTTAATCAATAAACCATTTGGATGTTTAGAAGGAACCACAATTGCTTGGGAATTGCACGTTTATCCAAATGGTAAAGGAATAACAGATATTGGCTGTGTTTCTTTCTTTTTACAACAAACGGGCTTGCAGGTAATCATGATAATGATTCTCTTAAAAATTTGCAATTTCATTCACTAAGGATATGATGCATGCAACATTGTATTCACTGGAAAATATGCTATATCTCATTGCAACATTATCATTTTTCAGGATAGTAAAAATCTCATATTGGTGGAATTTCAAATTTACACCTTAGATGTGAATTCAGCAAAAGTTCACATGTATAAAAATATCAATCGTTTCATCAATCAACAAGAGCATGGGCTGTATCAGGTTTATTACTTAGTAACTGCTTGAATGATTCAAATTTACAGTGAAAAGGAAATAGGAAGCTAATTCTTAAAATGTTTATTGTGTAAATGATGATTTATAGATATGAAACAGTTACGAAACTTCCAGATTAATTGAATCTATGAGACTATTCGGTTCAAAAAATGTCGATGTAAAGATGATCAATGCATTCTTAGATTATGTAGCAAATATTGATAGGGTTCGTTTGAGAGGGTGATGTCGAAGAAGAGACAACTATTGCCAGCGATATAACGCAAGTTGTAGTAGCGTTGAGTTGAATTGAATTGATTCAGGTACGATGATTTGAGTTGAGTTGTACACGCACCAGATTGTTGACAATTTTATTGATAACCGTTTCCTCGGTTAATACCATAGGGTTTATATCTATTAGGAAATGCGAGTGGTTTTCATTAAACATTCATGGGCAATTTCACATAACGGAAACGGTTAGGATCCACTTACAGTAAAAGCATTGTCACAATGAAAGATTAGCATATGGATAAAGATGCGTCCGGACAAAGATGGGTAGTGAGATAAAGACCGAAAAAACATGGAAATAAATCTAAGAATTGTAGAATTAATTAAATGAGTCATAACATTGGATATATTCATTTACAATAAGAAATTTATTTGATTATATATTTGTATGGTTGGAGTCTCGCGAATCGGAATTCGCGACAGATTACGCAAAATTATGCGATGACAGCATTGAAGAATGATGGATCTTTACTTGTAATTTGCGAAATCGAATATTCGTCGCCCAAACCAAAAATTAGCGTTGAACAAGAAGTGAAAGCAGAACCTTTGGATGAAAAGAATGAGGTTTCGATACGATATTCTCTTAAAATATGTTGGA